TTTTCTTTGCATTATGGTTTGAACATTACACATTCACTTGGCTTTCATCTCACTGTACAATCAGTGTGCTTCCTGTTTTTACCCATCACTTTTATTTTCTACACTTCCATCTTGTATCAGTCCTGTTCATCTTTCAGGTTAGCCAGTCTTTATGCTCCCTGGGGTCCATGTCATTCTGGGATCTCTTGACAGGAAGAGCTCCTTTTCTTTTTTTCTCATTTTTGGTCTATAGAAAACTTGCCTTTTCAGGTTTTTTTTTTGTTTGTTTTTTTTGATTGATTTTTTTTATTAATTATACTTTATTCACTTTGTATCCCCCCATAAGCCTTTTCAGGTTTTATAGGTCACTAGGAAGACCTACAGGACTCAGCATGTAGTTGTGTGGAATGTTTGTGATTTTGTGCATTTGTTACTGTTCATGGGTCGTGATAGGGTTCATTTTCTTTGCCAGTTAAATAATTAAAAGGCCGGAAAAAAAAATCTCAAGTAACGTGACAAGTAAACCAGGGGAAATTCTCAAATACAGTAGACAGACTCAGCCCATAAAGGCTTTTATTAGAAGTGAAGAAACACTCAGACAGACAGACAGACACACACACACACACACACACACACACACACACAGCAAATACACAAAAAGACTATAAAGGGAAGTAGGGGCTTTGGAAGCTGAAGACCAGCCTCTCCTTGAGGGGTGGGGATTTTTTAAAGTTTTTGAAGGGTCTTCATACTCTAATTTAGGGTTGGTGTAAATTTAAATTTTTTAAAAAAGAAATTTATTGTCCAAGGTTTCTTTTGGAGTCTGGTCCTGTAGCATACTCCATGGAGAAACTAGGATGAATTGTGGTGCTTGTGCAGTTAAGATGGCTGATTAGCTCCCAATTGTCATGTAAAAATGTCCTGATCAGCCTAGAACTTGCTGAGGCAGTCCTTCAGTGAGAGGGAGAAAAAGCCCACAAGGCCTTTTTGAAAAAACTGCCAGGCTTTTGTCTCAGGTCAGGAGAGTAAAGAAGCAGCCACCATCTTGGAAGTTCACTATCTTCATTAAGTAGTCATGGACGTCCCCTCTCCTTGTCTTTCTACCTGTGAGGAAATATGTCTAATTCCATGTCCCTCATAATGAAAAGAAATTGAAAAAAAAAATCAACAAAGAAAAAAAGATGTGTAGGGTGAATTGCTGAGGAAACTAGTTGTCAGCTTGCAGGTACACTCTATGCTGCTACAGAACATATGCTGAATTTTCACAGTATCAAGGGAAACATGCTTCAGATATTTGCCAGAAGCAGCTCTTGTTAGAAATTGGTTGTCCTTGGGCTGGAGTGAAGGCTTAACAGTTAAAAGCACTTGATGGCTGTTGTGGTTTGTTTCCTAGCACCTACTTGGTGGCTCACAACCACACATAACTCAAGTTCCAGAGGATCTGAAGCCCTCTTCTGACTCCTTGGGCACTGGGTACACACGTGGTTCACAGAAATGCAAGCATAATGCCCATATACATAAAATAAATCTGAATTTAAAATTAAAAAAAAATATTGTCTAAGGTTTCTTTTGGAGTCTGGTCCTATTGCACACTCCAAAGAGAAACTAGGATGGTAAGTAAGTTGAGTTGTGGTGCTTGTGCAGTTAAGGTACTGGGTTTCTATTCTTAGGAAATAAAAGGTATTGAAATCCAACTTTCTGATGCAGGCCAGGGATTAGTTGGTAGTTAACAGCTGCTGTGCTGATTTTGTTAACCTTTCAGTACACCATGCACGCTCACTCACAATCACATTCAACTGTGGGGCATGCCTAGCCTATGGTTTAATGTTTTCCTGTGGATTGTCCTGCTGCTACTATTTTGTAGTATCTACCTATGTATCATCTCCTTTTCAGAGGCTTAGAAGTAATGAATCACCTGAGAGAGACATGTACACATTTATCATGCATAGATACTTACAAGTCTTAGCCTTTAGCCTACACTCCTAATAGCAGGGCACAGTAATTCCCTTGGAAAGGGATGTTGGAAGAACTGTAGGAGTAGGAGGAGCCTCCCAGTTCTAGAGTGTGTATTGCTGGCTGGCTGGAAGCCCTAGGCCTTCTAGCATTCTTGGTTCTCATTCATACCCACTTCTAAACTTCTGCCCATCCTGCACCTTTAGCTGCTGGTGTGGAGACTTGGAAAGAGTCAAGAATAAATAAAAACAACAGAAAGGGTCTGCATGTACCCATTGTACATTTTCAAAAGTCAGCCAACATTTTGTCAATTTTGTTTTTGTCAGTTTTCTTTTTTCTGTGGGGTGCAGTGATAGGTATGTATGGAAGAGTGAAAATAGAACTAGCGTTGAAATTATTTTTGTACTAAATTAATGCATTCTTATCATAACACCTCAATTAGAAATACATTTAATATTCTCTCTAAGATAGGTTCTTATTATATAGCTCAGGCTAGCCTCAGACTTGTGTTGTAGATGAGGATGGCTTTGCACTCCTGATCCTCCTGCTTTCACCTTCTAAGTGCTAGGAAAACAGCTGTTGGCTGCCATACTGGTACATGTTTAATGTGCTTTAAAAAAATAATGTGTCTTTAAATACTCTCTAGCTTAAGGTTTCACTGATGTTTTCATTTCAGGTTCAAGAGGTTATTTTTCTGTGTCATCTTCTACGTCTAAAGTAATACAGACATAACACTGACACGCAACTTAAATAAATGTTAATTTGTATCTGTCTGTCTGTATTTCCTTATCTGCCTATCTATTTTTGCTGGGCGGTAGTGGTGCATGCCTTTAATCCCAGCACTTGGGAGGCGGAGGCAAGTAGATCTCTTTTTGAGGCCACTTGGTGAGTGAGTTCCAGGACAGCCTAGGAATTGTACTGTTTGTGAATCTACAAGTTTTGTTCTTTCCTTTACTGTGTTAGGGACATTTCTTTCAGTGAGTATGAAGATCAGCGCCTTTCATTATGCTGAGCATGCAGCAGCCATTTCTTTATTAATGGGCCTTCCAGTGATTGCCCTATGGTTTTCCCTTATCCTTTGAATGTCAGCCCCTGTTAGATTTTGAGGAGATCTGTAGCATGTGTGTTAAGTACGAAGGAGAAGATACTTGCTAACTTAAAAAAAACAAGCACTAAAATAAAGCGTGAGAAAAGAGAAAAATCAGAAAAGGAAGAGCCTCTATTTGACAGGAGACCATGAAGAACAAATGCTAATAATAGGACAGTATCTTAACACAGTGTTTTGGGTGCCACTCCTTTTCTCAGTCATGGGAAATATTGGGAAGCACACTTGTCTTGTTGTTGTTGTTTTTCTGATAGAGGACCTTACTGTGTAGCATAGTCTAACCTCAGACTTGGGATCCTCTTGTCTGTGCATGCTGGTGTTTAGCACACCTGGCTATATCTCAGTTCTGTCATGGTGACACCGAGGCGGAAGAAAACCAAGGAATTAGAGCGTTTGCTTTTGAGTTTTTCCTACCTCAACAGAGGGACATGGGTTTATTTCCTTTGTGTATATGTCATTTACTCTGCCACGCTTGTATATTGTGGTCACCTTGGCCTTTGACATTGGGATGGTCTTATACAAAATATAAAGATGTATAATCTTCATGCATTTGACATGAATCTCTTATTTCAATTGTTCAAAATGCTACTCATTTCTATTTTCTTATTCTACATATGTCCCTCAATTTCTTCCATCAGAAAAAAAGCCAGATTTAAGCTCTTTGCAGTGATTATAGCCTCTTCCAGTTTCCTACATACTTGCCTAATTCTGTGGCTGTCTTTGGTAGTGTTACTGTGTATGATGGCTTTCTTCAGTACGCAGAACTGGTATCATGAAACTTACACTCTAGGCTGACTACTTTGTGAAACTAGATAGTTCCTTTATATTTTCTTAGATTGCTTTTCTCAGGCTCCTTGTGAATGGAGCACCATGTGAATGGACAGGCCCCACATGAGTGATGAGTGGAGAACCAGTCGCCTCCAGTAAGGAGAGCTGTGTACTCAGGGAAGAAACCTGTAAGCCTCCTTTGGAAGTTTTGGTTCCTTGGAGAGCATTCTTTTGGTTTTAAGTTGGTTTTTCGAGCAGATGCTTCATGTAACCATGTAGGCAGGAAGGGCTCAGGGATTAGAGTTGGGGTAGTTGTGGCTAGAGTGGATCTGGCTTTTTATTCCTTATGTAATTCCCTCCCTCTCTTACTTCTGCTCTCCTTGTTCTTGTCTTAAATGTTGTTAGAGCTCTACTAGAGGGGTGTCTGGTGCATCTGCCTAAGACTCACGTTTATTATTAGATATGACTCCTTTTGTTGTAGTTCACTAATTAGTTTTGCGTAGTTGTTGCTTTCATTGAGGTGGAGGGAGAAAGAGGAAATAGTTTGCCTAGTTGTGATACACTGAACAAGGGAGCCCTTTCTGTTAGCAACTTCGAAAATTTTAGATTCTAAAATTTTAAATAAACTTATAGTGCGTACATTATTGTTTCCAAAGAAAGAATAATTTGAGATTATTGTAATTTTGAATTACATGTTACCTATTTATGGCTAATTTGTAGCCAAAAAAATATCTATGGTTGGGTATGTAGTTCATTGATGGAGCGCTAACCTGACCTGTGCAGGACTCTGGGTTTGATCCAGCATCACAAAATGCGCACACACATGCGGGCGCCCCCCCCCCCCCCCCAGAAGTACCATCGCAGTCTATCCCCCTCAGGTGCGATTGATAATGGGACCCATAATGAGGTTACAACTTACCCATTCTAGAATTGGAAGAATCTTAAAGTGTAAAACTTCAACTTTTCATTGCCTTCCTTGATTTTAACATTAAGGTGAAAGCTCTCATGCTTGGGAAGGAAATCGATGTCAATTAAAAGTAAATTGCACTACATGGTAGCTGTGTGGCTTAGGTTGCAGACTGTTGAATAAAGAAAAATTTGCTCTATTTCTTAAAAGTGAAAGTGAACCTGTGTGCAGCATTGTTTTTATGTCTAAATCCACTTTGGGAAAGTTAATTGCAACTGTGTGGTTCAGGGATTTAGTGCAAGAAGAAGAACAGTTGATGGAAGAAAAGAAAAAGAAAAAAGACGACAAGAAAAAGAAGGAAGCTGCTCAAAAGAAGGTATATACGATACACTTTGTTAAGCAGTTTGAACAAAAGGAATTACTCATGACTTTGTTAAGCATTGATAAGTATATTAACCTCATTGAAAATCCAATAGTTAATGTCCTTGAATGTGCATATACAGTAGTTTGCTGAATGTATAATTCAGTGCTACATAATCTTGCCAATACTGAGGTTTTCGAAGGTAAGTACATCTCATAGGATTTCTCTTTCACTTAGTGATTCCTGTGTATTTCATTATAATTTTTATAAGTGGGGAAACAAAGACGCTTAAAAAGGCTGTGAAGACAGAGAGGGTTTTGAAGTCTTACTTGCTCATATAACCTTAGAATGATATAGCCATCAATCCTATTTAGTCTCCTTGGGCCTCAGTTTCTTTATATTTTGTTAAACAAATGTTGAATTAAATGAAATAATAGAAGGTGCAATAGAAAATGAAGTAAACTATATTTAAGCAAGCCATATTTAAGCAAGTTTTGACATGATAAAGAATAAAAGTTCCTTTTAATTTGATACCTGTGCTGACTTTCTAAATTTTCAGTTTAAATTTAGACACTTTAAAACAATCACTAAGGTATTCACTGGAAAAGAACTCTAGGCACAATATAGGATAAGAAGCTGGAGCCAAAGCAAAATATGATAAGGCTACTGACGGTTAGCAAATCTGACATTCAGTCTTCTCTATCAAATTTTCAAGGACCTAGTATTCTAAAAGACCCAATAAATTACTGTTGTATTTAACAAAGAAGTACTACTGTGCTTTTAAAATGTGTACCCAGTTAGGTAAGACATAGGACACACAAGGCATACATACATGAAACATGTCTTTATGGGAAACTGTTGACACAGGGAGGAAGATACCTTAGCCCAAGATGGAGCAGAGTAGTAGAACATATTCTTAGAATAGAAATAAGTCAGGTGATTTAGTAAGCTCAGAACCAGGAATTTGTATTCTGTATGTCTTAAAATGTGAAAGCTTTTGAGGGTGGAATAGGCATATCAGGAGATGGTTTCGAGGCAGTTAGTGAGAAGTAAATTCTCGGAGGGTTTGAGTGTTGGGGAAATTATCGAAGATATTTTAGTAGAAGTGACTTGAAAGTTTGTTTTTTTCCCTTATGAAAATGTTGGATTGGATTGGAAGGGATCGAAGTACTGCTTAAGGGACTGTTGACATAATCCAGAGAATTTGCTTGGTGGCTGTGAGATAGAACATCCTAGACTTTTAGATTCTGTTGAGTGATTTAAGTGTACTTGGGAACAGTTAATCAGCTTAGTACAGAAAAAGGAGAAGTGATAAATCAGTTCTGGGTGTGCTAAAATGTGGGCACCATCAGCAGATAAGTGGGGCAGGGAGAGTACAAAGTTTTTGGAGGACTGAATGTGTGTGAGATGGTAGGTGACATTAGTCAGTGCAGTCTGGTGCCCTCAGGGGGAGCTGGAAGGAGGAATACATAGGTATGCATTGCAGGTGTTTGGACAGGGCTCTAGTGTAGAGTTTTGTGTTGGCTGATGCCTTGGGCCCCTACCAGAGGCTTTTTGATGTTGGATGGTCTTTGCAGTCTGGTCCATCTTTATTTGATATCTATGAAAGAGTTGTGTCCTCTCTAAGCCTAAGGCTAGGAAAAGCTTATTGTATTCTAGGACCATGGTGCCATTTGCCCATTCAAGAATTCTTGAGGTAAACTGGAGGAAGTTGGTGAAGAGGCTGCTTAGTGTGTTTAATGTAGAATCTGGTTTGGCCAGCATCTGAATATTGTTGCCTTAGGCCTCGCCGGTCCGAAGGAGTTCCAGATTCAGCTGGTAAGTGCAGTACAGCATGTCTGGGAAAGAGCCTAAGGTAGTATTTAAGAATGTGTTTGGAATTTGCCCTGTTGACTGAGAAAATTCTGCAAAAGGCAGATGCTTAATAGAATTATTTTAAGTCAGCATATAGAAATAATGACTCAGTTGTGAAAGTTCATCTCTACCTTCCCTCACAATCAACTTTGTAAATCACCAAGTCAGTAAAGTGACTCCCATATGTGTGCATAAATTTAAATGTAGCACATAAATGCTGTTTATCCTGTTATTTGGCATCTCATCAAATGTGCAGTGGCAGCTCTTCAGTTTTTTCCAGTTCTTCCCTGCCTCAGTTAGTGGTTCCAGCCTCACTCTCATCATGTCGCACTAGACCAGATGCTGAGAGAGAAAAATGGCTTGATTTTACTAGATCTTGCACATAGCTAGGGTCTTGCTATGTATTCTGTCTATCCTAAGCAGTCTAAAGGAAAGTTTAAAGCCCTAATTGTTAAATTTCATTGTGTAGACTGCCACCGTAAATACAGCTTCTCCAAACTGTAGAAAACCAGCTTATAACTGAATTTGAATGCAACCTGTTGGCAAAATAAGGACAGCTGGTATTTCCATACTCTGCTACCAAATAGCTCCTTAAAAATAGGAAACTCCCAGATTGGCCCAGATGAAAGACCATGAGTCACAAACTGTTAAGACAAGCTTTGTGGAGCTTTTTTTTGTTTTCTGTAGGAGCCAGCAAGTATATCCCAGTAGGTGGTAGGAGACAAACATGAGTTAGGTGGGCAGGACCAGTAATGAGTGTTTGAACATAAATTCATCATAATTCACTTTTGTGTATGTGAACCATGCACATTCACTTCTGAAGACGACCAGCTGTTATCTGTGCTAATCTGTTTTGTGTTCAGTATAAGGTGACTTCAGTAGTTAACCTTGGTTCCCTGATGGCAAAGGTGCAGAAGTGAAGTTGAAACCTCATGCTTCCATTGAGTGTCCAAACTATAAATCACAGTACTGTGCTCTCCATGCAGAATGTTATCTTCTGTTTCTGCTTTTATTTTTCCCCATATTCAAGTGAGCTTTTAAATTGAGAAATCATATATAAGGAAAATTTTACACTGGCATATAAAGTATAGGTCCTCATGCTATGAACACTGAAAACATGTATATTTAACTCCCTAACAGCATGTGTGCTTTTGAAATTTAAGTTTGTTCCGTGATCTATTTTCTGCTTCAAATAAAAAAACAAGTAATAATTTAACTGCTAGATATCAAAGCAAGCTCTACACTGAACCAGATAGATTTCCATTCCCCTCTCTCTTGATAGCTTATTAGACATCATCAAAACTTATTCTAGTATTTTAACTTAACAGTTTTTCTTGTTTTGTTAGGTATATATTCAGATCTTTAGTCTCTAAAGAAATTCTGTATACTTTTAAATGGTAGTTCCCACCGTAGTAAGTGAACATGGGGCTCAGTGAGTTAGGGACTTCATTTGTAGCATTGTTCTGTTCTAAAAACCTTATCCTAATAAGCTGGCCATGTATGTGCAGTGCTTTGTATGTGGTGAAGAATCTTCTGGTTCTTAGACCTAGAAGTTTGGTGTCGCCAGACATACAGCTTCAGCCTTAAAGAGGGGCAAGAGCAACAGCAGCAGCACAGGGTTAGCATGAATTTCTCCCCAGGTTCCATTTTTTAGAAGAGAAATTTCAAAAGGGATCTTAAGGGAACTGCAGTGAGAAAAGGGAGATTGAGAAATAGGTTAATTATAGAGGGGCAATTCAGAATACCCTTTACTTACACATGTAATTGTAGTTCCTAGAAAGTGTGTTAACAGTGAAGGGTTGGGGAGACGAGTAATGCAGACTGGAATTTCCTGACATTCGTGTTATTTTAGTTGTTGCTGTTACTGTTTGAATTGAAGGGATTTGTACAGGTTTTATGGTGTAAGTCACTAAAGCCTAAAAGAGACTTAGGCTGTAGAGACATCTGACTTCTTTCCTCCCTTTAGGAGATCATGCTCACAGTCTCATCGGTGCATTTCTCTGTAACCTTGGTGATAGCATGACCAGTTGGAGGAGGCACTCACGGAGGGCAGTGAAATGCCCTCTTTTACAGCTCTGTCCTTTCGCATACCTTCCTTTCTCCTCAGTTTAAAAGTTCTTTATTCACCAGACTAACATTCTAGACTAGGTATTATTTGCTAACTCATAGGAAAGACTTTTGAGTAAGTTATCTCGTTTTTAAAGAGTGAGTTCAACTAGATTACTTTTGATTCCTTCTGTCTTAGTTCCTTTTCTATGTAACATCACCATGACTAAGGCGGCTTAAGGAAGAGTTTATTGGGGTACACAGTTCCAGGTGACCATCATGGTGCAGAACGTAGGAGCATGTAGACAGGCATGGCATTGGAACAATAGCTGAGAGCTTACATTTTGATCCACAGCAGTTGGCAGAGAAAGCTAATTGGGAATGGTGTGGGCTTTTGAAACCTCAAAACTCACCCCCAGTGATATACTTTCTCCAACAAGGCCACACCTCCTAATCCTTCCCAGTCAACCAATCGGGAACCAAGTATTCGAACATTAGAGCCTGTGGGAGCCGTTCTTACTCAGACCACCACACTGTTAGTTTATAATATTGGGAAGGTGTTGGAGAGGATCAGAAAGGAAAAAGAACTGGGGATAAGTGTCAGCCAGTCAGCTCATTTTGAAGTGTGAGACTTAGATCTAAGCTCAGGTAGCCAGGGCTGTGGAAAGCTGCAGGAACATACACCTATTGACTGGTCCCCACTCTCCTGCGCCTTCCTCTGTTGCAGCCTGGAGTTCTGAGCTTCATGGCGGTGCTGACAGGAGTGTATTTATCCCCATTTTTCAGACGAGGAAGGAAGTGAGCTCATTTAGAAAAGTTAACTCATTTGATCAGGGTCATAACATTGTCAGCAATAAAGCTGGGATTCAGAACCTGAGCTCTTACAGTTTGCGTAGACACAGAGCGAGGACAGGTACTGGAGAGCTGTTGGGAATGAAGCACCCATTGTCTCTACTGCTACTATCTAATGTCTCCTTTGTAGAATCAACTAAAGATTGTTAAATATTACAATATTTAACATACCAACTGTTTGTTTCCATGTTTGATTTGCTAGAATCCCTGTCTTCGGGTAGAAGTGACTATATGTCACACCTTACTTCTAACAGTGTGTATTTTACTCATACCCAATTTGTCAAGTTTTATTACTTTATTACTTTATCACAGTAGCTCTAAAATGTGAGTAGGGTAGTTTTTCTTACTTGAAGGATTAGGAAAGAGACCCATAGAGCTGAAAAGGCAAGATCATTTTAAAAGTAAGAAAGTTTTAATCCCAGCACATGGTAGGCAGAGGCAAATATATTGTTAGTAGTTCAAGGCCAGCCTGATTTACATAGTTAGTACCATGTCAGCCAGGGCTACATAGTGAGAGAGATCTTGTCTCAAAAACAATAAAAGAAAACATTAAGGACAATTTTAATATTTATGTAATTCAGTAGAGCCCAAATATTGCTGTTTTAATACACAATCCATACAAAATATTGTTAATGAGTAGTTCTTATCCTTTGAAAAACACTCAGTATTAGAAATCTGCTATATATTTTGCAGATCTCCATTTTAACTACTTTTCATTTCAATGATCAGTAATCATATGTGTGACTAATGGCCACAGTTTGGGGCAATAGAGGTAATCACTATTAAAATACTGGGCCCACTTGGAAATTCTCATTATAATAATTATACTGGGTTCTTGGACTAGCCTACAGAAACATGCTTTAAGAAGCAGAATTCTGCCACTTCCATGTTGTCCTCATCAATTGTAATGTGCTCTTGATTTCTGTTATCTTCATTCCTTCACCCTGTTAGTTCAGTGTTCTCAGGGTTAATACCTTGTATTACCTACCTAGGGCCTCTGTTGGTGACAGAATACTGGATGAGGCTGGCCATTGTTCTAGAAAAGTTGGTCTCAACCTGTGGGTCTGAGATCCAGTGACCCTTTCACAGGGTTTCCTAAGGCCATCGGAAAACACAGATCTTTACATTATGAGTTATAACAGTAGCAAAATTACAATTGTGAAGTAGCAACGAAAATAATTTTATGGTTTGGGGTTATAACATGAGGGACTAAATTAAAGGGTTGCGGCATTAGGAAGGTTGAGAACCACTGTTCTAGAACAACATAAAAACTGCTTTCCCACAGAAACACAATCTTAAAACCTGGAAAAATATCACTGTATGGCTTTGGTCTTAATAATGTCATAATTTCTCTGTCTTGCATTTCATCTCCTTTGAAAGTGATCTATAGTTTTTAAGAAAGGCTTTGGGCTTACAAAGTAATTCTTATGCTGATTCTTTGGCTCTTTTAGATTACCTATATAACAAACAGCTCTTCACAGAGTTCTAAGTTCTCTCTAAAAAATATTTTTTTTCTATAAATCTGATTTTCAAAATTATAGCTGGGTGGTGGCAGCACACACTTTTAATCCCAGCACTCAGGAGGCAGAGACAGGTGGATCTCTGTAAGTTCGAGGTCAGCCTGGTCTAAAGAGCTAGTTTTAGGACAGCCAGGGCTACACAAAGACACCCTGTCTCGAAAAAAACAAAACAGAATTACTTCTTCCTAAAATAAATAACTATTGTGAAGCTAGGTGACAATCCATTTAGCATTACCCTTCCATCACTGTTTTTCTTTTAATTTTGATCCATAAAATACAAGATGGGCTCCATTATTTTTCTATCTCTAGTGCTCTAAAACTGGACAAAGCACTATAGTGAAAGATGAGCATTTGGTGTGGCTTCAAAAGTAGAATAATTGTAGTTTTTATTATATGTATTTATAATGATATAACTTAAAATGGAGTTTTTCATAGCTTAATAATTTTATTTGACTAAGCAAATGAATCACCATGCCCTTAGGCAATTAAGTAAAGCTGTGTCTTAATTTAGAAATAATTCTTTTTCGGTTACTAATATTCAGCCATTTCTGGTCAGCCTGAATGTTTTTGAATATTTCACTTTCAGGTCTCCGTGCAGTGACTCTGATGAGAAAGGGATTTTACTTGGGGTCCTCTCTCACTGGCTTTATAGTTCTTGTAGAGGCCCTTGTTCTTTGAGCTGCTGGTCTAAGTCAGCCCACTGTCCTCCAGCTTTCCCCTCAGTTGTGGTGTGAGAGAGCTAATAAACTCCCAGGCCCTGGGAAGCAGGTTTATATCAGCTCAGTCATTTTCATGAGATGTCAGAAGTGGCAAGTTAGTTTAAAAAGGTTTCTTACTTAACAAATACTGAAAAGTTGACTATATTAGCGAAAATATCGACTTGATCTTCAGAAGTTAAATTTATTACAAATTTGGCCAAAGTGATTATTTATAACTTTTCTTACAGAAAATGTAATTCTTTTTGATCATTTGAAGCCATTTAGATATACAAAATTTGTTAAAAACCTATTTATACAAAGGTAACAATTATAAAATTATTTAAAAATAAGGGAAAAGAACAGCTCCCATTTGAAAAATTATAAGCCACCATAAAATGTTTTCTATACTTTATGTCTAAAGAATCATTCCAGAAATTTTTGTTAGTAAAAATACTATCAAGAACAATGGGGCACATCTGTGGGAAAAGAATGCTTTGCATGTCTTTTCCTGTACAGTTCATCTAAATGATACTTTCTTTAATAAAAATGTATATCTTATATGATAGTAATATATGAACATTTTATCATAACAATTCATTTCTTTCAGTTTCATATTTACATTGTTTTTTGTTTGTTTGTTTTCATTTTAGGCCACTGAACAAAAAATCAAAGGTACGTCGTTTAAAGCTATTTCTTCTTTTTTCATTAAAATCAAGTTGTTTATGTGTACTTTTATTCACCTTCAGGATGGGAGAGAAATGTGTCGAAGAGACTGGGGTAGGAACAGACTGCTTCAGGTGAAGTCACATTGGTGTATTCCATTGAGTTTTTTATGGTGTATATTACTACATAGAGAAGGTACTGCCCTGAGGCTGTCTTCTGGGTAGGCCCCATTTTCTAATGCTGTCTGCTGTGAGTCTTGAGCACATGCCTTTCTTTTGGTCTTCCATTCTAATCTCTTATTCACAGGTGTGGGATGGGTGAAATTTCTGCCTGCTTCATTTCTTCTTGTCCTTTATAGGCATAGTAGTGACCCCTGTTCCTGTATTACGCTTAAAGAATACATTTCTAACCGTTTGGTCATTGAGCCAGGTTACTAATGTGCCCTGGGATGAAGACTTAGCCCCTCTCAAATCCTGAGTCAGGGGTCCTCCAGCTTCCTGCCCTCGACTACCTAATAATGACAGTTGTACAGTTCAGTGGCTGAACTTGGCTCCAGCATACCGCATTGGGGTTTTAGCTGTGTCAGAAATATGCTCTCTGCATTTCATTAGTATGTGCACTCACAGTATAACCTATGGTTACGAGATTCATGCTAGTTAGGGTAGTATCTATTAGGTGCTCTCATATAAGAGTAAATAAGAATGGTTAAAGCTTACATTTCACTAGAAGAAAGTTTTTACATGAACATAAGGAAAAACTGAGACAGGAATTTGAGAGTGGAAATAGATTTATTTATAATTTGACCAGGAATTCTTAGAGAAATTCTTAGTCTCTCTCCATTTGCCTATACCAGTGTTACAGTTTATAGGTACTATTTAGCAGATGCCAAGAAACATGCATATATAAATTTAGCTGTGAGTCCAGGTTACAGACCTTTTGGGAAAGAGAGTCTTACCTGTTTTGCGTCATGGTTCCCATGAGTGGCCTGTCCTACCCCACCTGGTATTTATTGGAGAAATTCTAATCCCTGTTTGAGGAGGTAAGTCAGATCTGAATTTAACCCCAAGAACCATGTACAAGTTTAATCCCAGAGACAGGCAGGAGGATCTCTGAGATAAGGCCAACCTGGTCTAAATAGTGAGTTTGAGGCCAGCCAGAGCTACACTGTGAGACCCTGAGGTCAGAAGAGGCATTGAAAATGAGCCACAGTAATGCAGAATATGCACGGTCAGGTCAGCTTCTGAAGCTGCATCTGCCGTCACTCTAGCAGCCTGTGTAAGAGTATATAAATTGCCCCTAGTTGGTTGCTTTTTGCTTTGTGTTCTCTTTTTTTAAAGCCAAACATCTCTGCTCTTCCAGGGTCCGTATAATCTGACCTCTTATGCTCCAACCGACCCAAGTCCCCCAACCCACATTTTTACACTTCTTAGAGTATTTGGTTTTCATGTTCTTTTATGTTTGCGTTTTGGTCTGGGTTATTGAGCAAGGCTGTTTTCATGGTGGCTTTTATCCTTATCCTCGCTCTACTTGTCCTTGGTCTCTACCCTTTATTACATGTGTAATTTTGGACACTTGATTATATCCTCTCTTAGATTGTTGATTGACCCACAAAATATTTCGTCTCCAGTGTGATCTTTGAGTACCTGTTGTTTAATAACTTTTCCAAATGAAAGCCATCCTTTGACTTCCTTGCTTAAACTGTCTTCTTGTTTTCAGGTCTTTCACAAGTCTGAGAATATTAAACTTACGGTAGGAACGTCACTTAAGGTGCAATGTGCTCTTTTAGTTCACTTCATCCTTGATTTACTGGCAGCTCCCTTAATAACGGGTCACAATTATTTTATCTGTAAGCATGTATTTTATGTTTATGCTGGGTATGTGTCTGTGATGCATGTGGTGTGAGGTTTCTATAGGTAGAAATCACAAATGAGAGCATTGGCGGGTCAGGTTTGGCCTGTGTTTCGTTGTTCTGACTCAGCACAGTGAAGTGAACTGAGCACTGCTGCTGAGGGACCTGCCATATCCATCGCTCCATACGCTTTATCTTGGCTTGTTACGTTCTGGTTTTTGGTAGCAACAAAACTTGAATCCATCCTCCTTTCTGTTTTGGTGGCCAGTCCAGTGGTATTAACTACTGCCTCCTTGGCACAACATGTGTAGTAGGTCTTAAGACTTACTCAGCTTGAGTACCTGCAACTTTGGATCCTTTTTTTATTTATTTAGCACCTGTATGACGTATGTGGAGGTCAGAGGTCTTTCTACTAGGTGGGTTCTGAGACTTGAACTCAGGTTTTTAGTTTTGAGGGCTAGGGCCTTTACCCACTGAGCCATCTCCCCATCCATACCCAACTTTGTACCCTTTAATCCATTCCTGCTCTTCTCTGTTCCTAGTGATAACTAGTCAGTTCTAAGGGATTTGGGGTTTTGTTTTGTTTTGACAGGATTGTGGGTTGTGCTGGGGGTCTTACATATGCCAGGGAAGCACTTCAGCACCTGGCAGAGCCAGTGGTTTTGTTTTCTTTTTTTTTAATTTCACATTTAATTGAGATTACGTAGTATATTTGCTTATTTCACTTAGCATAATCTTCAGGTTTACCTTTATCATGTTGAAGAGAGGGGGGTGGGAATTTGTCTGTGCCCATGTGTCCATGTGTATGTTCATAGGTAGGTATGCCTGGAGTCTGAATCATTCTCCAAGGTACTTGGAAGTGCTGCATTCTTTTTCTTTGGAGTAGGTGCCCGAGGAGTTGCTGCTGGGTCATATGATGCAGTTGGAGTTTTCCTTTCTGAGACAGTGTTAGTCCTTAAATTTCTCAATGATAACGTTTCCTACTGGACCAAGTTCAGGAACTTGAGTGGCTTCACAGAGCTTCAGAGTAGACAACTGAGATGTCAGAGCTGTGGCTTCAAATGTGTAGGTGACCGAGACTCCTGAATACTGAAGAGGCTGTTCAGAACTGAAGTGACACCCCAGAGAACCTAGTGCCCATGCTCTGCGGTGCATGCCCATTGCTCATTCTGTCAATACAGTTGGGGGGGGGGGGGTTAGTCTCAAGGAGAATTAGTCTGACCACCACCGTGTGCTGTGCCACCATGGTTCTGCATTGTGAGCTGATTTGGAGGCCAGTTCGTGCTGTTGTTTGAAACAGACAGAGGTGACTGCTGATTAAAAACTCCTTATGGCAGATTCTTTTCTTCCTGAGCTAGGTAACAAGATCTGTACTTCTGTACTAACAAGATGGGAAAAAATATTTGCCTACTTTCATGAAAAAAGTTAAAATAATTTTGTTTGGTTAATAGAATGATCATTTTTCCTTTCCCCTTACTAAGAAAGGAAGATGATTTACATGCATAAAGTTAGATTAATGTACACAGTAAATTCACAGAAAATGCTGGGGATCCCATTTTCTTTAGGATTGTACAGCCATCAGTTAATTGTTTAAATTGGTGAAAATGAAATATTGTGTGTGTGTGGCGATTCTGAAAAGGACCGAGGAAATAGGAAGTAGGGAAAAAGCAGGTTAGCAGTGAGCTGTAATCTATAACTATGCTCAAGAATAAAGGAGAATAGCCCATAGTTTTGGGGATTGTGTGGGAGTACCCCAGAGTTGTGTGTCCTGAGCTGAGAGTCTGAGATTTTACTAAAGGAATAATCAGGGATTCTGTTTCAAAATCAAAACACCCCAGGAACCTTCTCTTTTAAGCTTTAGAGAAGAATTAAGACAAATTAATAAGAGTAGCTGTATCAGTTAACATTCACCAAAAAGACAGTACATATCAAAAGGTTGCACCTGTACTTAATGTATATTCCTATAGTCCTTTAATTCTGATAAAAGTAGTATCTAGGTCTCAGAATGTATTCTGGGCAAGAGCCTTTGTTCTGGTATGTCCTAAGGAAAATGCTGGTGGGATGGCCAGAGGCTGAGAGCTTTGAGTCACTGCTAAAGAGAGTAACTGGGATTGACTGTCACCTTTGCAGTCTTTATTTCTATGGCTTTGGGCAAGTTTTTTAACTTCTACACTCTGGAGAGCTAATCCAACCCATGTCTGTGCTGTAGGAGGAAAGGTAGTGGATTGGAAGCCGTGGGTTGCAGGCTTAGTGCTGAGTAGGTACTGTGTAGTCAAGTATGTGGTAGAGAACTGGAGTTTTCAGAGAGTAGCACTTTGAGCTAAGATCTATGACTGTGGCACTTGTTTGTAATCAGTAGGTTTATTTTTATTTCTTTTTTTTTCCTCCTCTTTCCCTTTTTCCTCCTTCTCTTTTCCTTTTTCAAGGTAGAGTCTCTGTGCAGCTGTGGCTGTGCTACAACTCACTCTGTAAACCTGGCTGGCCTTGAACTCACAGAAATTGACCTGCCTCTGCCTCCTGAGTGCTGGGATTATAAAGACTTACACCACATCTTGCAAATCTTTTACATAAGACTAGAAAGCTCTTAAAGTGCTAAACTTAGCTGAAGCTAATAACTTAGTTTTATTACCGGTCAATTGATTGTTTCACTAAGAGGAAAGTTGTTTCTGGGTATAATTTAGGAAAATGCAGCTTTGAAATCTTTGAGCAGTTTTTTGTTTGTTTGTTTGTTTGTTTGTTTTTTCACTTTTCTAAATTTCTCAACGAATTGAGATTTTGCTTGTCACCTTTAAACCATGACGTAGATGTATTTGGTCACTATATGACCAAAAAATTCATTGTTTTTATTTGTGAATAAAATTCCTCTAGAATTTGTTGGTAGTATAGTTTTTTAAATGCTAATTATAAGAACTTTCTGTATTTTCATGTCAATTATATTCACAGAATGAACTTGTTTTGTTTTCTATATATTGGCTCTAGATTTTTTTTACGACTGATTTTTGTTCAGCAAACTAGTGTACTTCATCTTACACCTCTTGATCATTCTGTGTCCCTCTATACTGCTTCTTAATTACTCCATCTCTTGGAAGTTGGTGCCCATCGTATCAGAGCTATTTCATGGTGCTCGCTGTCTTCAGTGCCTCATTATGCAGGCAGTTCT